AATCGTACGAGGACATATTGGACCTCATGTTCGAAACGGGTCTCCAAAGCCCGTTAACCGGATCCAAGACCTCGGCCGAGTTGAGCTCGTAAAGATCCGTGCTATTCCCGCCCGCGACATAAATCATCCCGTCTATAACCCCACTCGCGAAATACGACCTAGCCGTGATCATTTTCTTCATCACGGTCCATTTGTTCTTACGCGCCTCGTATTTCAAGACCAAGTTGAGAGGGCAATCGACATCCGAGACAACACCTCCGAAAACGTACAAAGCCCCATCTTTAGGGATCGATACGCAACGAAACCCTTGCGGGCATACTTTATCCTTGCACGGCATAGAGGGAATCGAGTGCCACGAGAGGCGAGTGAGATCAAGAACCTTCCACTCGATTTTTCGCGTGCATTTACTGTAGGCAAATACGAAAAGCCACGGGTCGTGAAAACCGAGCTCCTTGCGGAGGGTGAAGAACCGCTCCTTACTACCGAAGAGGGAGAACCATCGTCGCGAGACGGGTCGGCAAGACGCATGTTGGTCGACCGCGACCCGCAAGAGGCATTGGAGCGCCACGTCATCCGGGAGGCCCGGGATTAGAGGGTCGTGGGTTTCTAGTGTCGGGTCGGGAAGTGATGGGCCACGGGCAGGGGCAAGCTTGAATTTTGGGGATAAGGTCATTTGGGAGTCCCCGAGCTTGTGGACGGGCGATTGGTGTGATGAGATTCGAACTCTTTGCATTCCCAAACGAAGCGAAACGAAGCGAACGAATTCCGTTTAGCGGTTAAAATCGGACTAATTTTGGTATTGGAAGGGGAAATACATAGCTGGGGTGTGAACTATGGAGTGTGAAATGAATCTCAAAAGACTAAAACAGAGTCCTCTCAACAAGAAAACCTTCAACATGTACACTCAAAGGCAAACACACAGGCTAAGAAGAAACAGAAGTCCCCCAACAAAATTAGCAAATAATGTCTCCCCCCCAAAGCCTGATGAGCTTTTGGGAACATAAAGATCGAAACTTTATTGCTCTGGACTACAGCAGCAAGTTGTTATCACCCTCTTGAAGCCTTGAAACTACAAATATATGAAAAAAATAACAAAAATTAATGTGAAGATTAATAAACAGACAGCTCTGTTGGTGATTGTTCATCCAAGAAGTGGAGACAATAGGCTTATAAATACTAAAGAAAAGCACAAGCCCATCACATACTGTTCAAATTCCATGAAAAAAAACTCATGCCCCAAAAGTAATTTCAATAATCAGACATCAAGAAATCAAGATATATAGCAGAAAAGTAAAACAATTGATTAAAAAAAGACAAAAATTGAGGGGACAAAAAATAAATAAATAAATAAATAAATAAAAAGAAGAAGAAGAAGAAAAACTTACAGATGAATGAAGAAGAGGGTTTGATTTAAAACAGGGGAAGTTCACAGATTTTAGGGAAC